TCACTCTAATCATACAAATTCAAATCTAACAACTTAATTTCATCAAGAGATAAGGTATGTGAACTACTGACGATACCCTGAATGTGGACGATTTTTTGAGGAACATTTTTATTCAAAAAAGTACATTACTTCATATTTCCTTTCTAAATTGATTGATTTTTCAGTTCAATACACGAAGAAGAATATTTTTTTCTCTTCTTTATCCTTCTAGGTTCCAGAATCTGTAGCCGCTGTAGCCTGGATGGTCATTATGGGTGATGGTCTGCACAATTTTACAGACGGAATGGCTATCGGTTTGTATCAAAACTTTTGCATATATGCTTATTTTGCTTTCAAAATGAAGTTTATTTTAAACGCTATTTGCAGCGTATTTATTATTTCCTGACTTAATATGTAGTAATTAGAAGTCACTGTGTGCACGGAACTACATAATAAACGCTGAATGATTACAGGATTTCATCATGAGCTGACATCGGTTAGAGAACTATTGGAAAACCTGCAAGGAATACTGGACAGTTGTTTCGTTCTAGTTTGGGACTCTTCATCAGAACGTACCCACCGGGGTTGAACCCACTGAATGCATTCGCAACAGTTAGGGTTTAATGGATTCAGATGAATGACAGACAGGCACACGAGTGAAAACCGAAAGGGAAACCATGAGTTGGACATGTGTCTAAGGGTGACATGAAAGAGACCACTTTAGGAGAAAATGAGAGTTTATGCGCAATGGTGGAGCTGTCCAAAAAGATTGCAAAGAACAGAATGAAATGGAGGTGTACTGCTGATGCCATACTTTCCACTCGGGAAGCAAGAAAATAAAAATAATTGTAAATTTTATTCTTTTACGTTCCCAGTGTGGAACATAGAGCCTCAAGCTACGGGTTTGAAGTTTCAGTAGCAGTGGTGTTTCATATGGAGTGGAGTTACTAGCCTCATACTTAACTTTCCCTTTTAACCGATCTTATTACCAGCTTACTGAGCTAAAAGAGTGGGTCGACCAGGGACCAAACTCCCGACCACATGCATGATTGACGAGAACTCTAATGCTTAGCCGCACAATTAATGGGATCATCCGAAGAACCCCACCCAAATACCTGAAACTACGCGTACGATTGACTCGGATTAGGAGTCATTGAAGGTTTGAACACGCCGAAGTATAAGCGCGAGCCTTTACCTGGTGTCAGGGCACTCGTGGTTACCCTGGTCCCAGGGCCAAGTTAGAATAGACCCAGCTAAATGGTTCACATGAACAGTAGAGGAATTCTGAGTGAATAAGAGTTTACTGAACGATAATTAAATTGTTAAAATCAACTATATCTGTGTGTTTAAGGGTCCTGGATGCGTTTTACTGAAGAGTCCCAAGCTAGGTCAAAATAGATGTTCAATAATACCTGGTTTTCAGCTAACAATCAAACTTAGAATTATTTAAATCTTCGCAAAGCAACACCTAAACAAAATTTCACAAGGATGAAGACAATCAAAATGGATTATACCACAGTAAACGGATAAAGCATAAAGTAGTGGAATGTGCTTGTGAATAAGAAAGCCTAGAATTAAGAAAAAACGGTAACAGCATTGTTGAAGTAACATTCGTATTCACTGTAACTTTCCTTCCATTGATTGATGAAAAAGTTAAGTGAACAGATTTCTGTAGAATTCTTCAAAACGATGCATTATTCATCTGCAACGGAACTCAATTAAGTCAAACGGTCGCTGATATAATTAAGTTTTAAGTAGTATAGTGAAGCATAGGCGACGAATGATGAACAGGTTTAAGGATATAAAGAATTTTTTTCATTCTTTGAGTCCTAAGTGGAATGTAAGGCCCTGGGCTTGAAGCATTTAAGTTTAACTAGCCATGGTTTTTCTGCCACAGGGTGGGATTGCTAGCCTTGTCGCCGACCTTCCTTATTTTCTGCTTTCGCTACTGGTTAGTTAATTAGGTGAGGTTATTAAGAGTGCGTTGGCTGGCAGTCGAATCCTGTGAAACAAGTGTGATTGGCATGCATTTTACATGTGAACCGTCGATTATTATTATTTTTCTCTTGAGTTCCGAGTGGAACATAGGGCTTCAACAACACATTTCCACCTTGTACTATCTTCTGCCGTCTTCTTCAGTTTCGACCACGATTACCCACAATCTCTCAACTCCTCATCGTCGCACGATCTCCTCCATGTCACCCTGGGACTACCCACTCGTCGCTTCCCACTGGAATCCCACTCGATGGCCTAGGGTGTGATGTCATTTGACGGTCTCCATTCTTATTCTTGCTCTCATCAAGAGGAGACACATCGGTTGGGTGACTGGCTTCCCGAAGGCTTTCACCAGCCAGCCTGCCGCGTCATTTCGCCTACCCGATTGCAGCCATGAATAAGATCGTTCTTTGAATTTTTTGTATTTCCAACAACTGTTTTGTATGTTGAAGTTCCTCTAGAGGTTTGATAGGTTTAGTGGTATAGAGTTGCTAGCCCTACGACCAACCCTCCCTCTTTACCTGGAATTCGGACCGGCTAGAAAACTAGAAATCTGATTAACTAGGCGAGGTTATGATATCATTAACCGATGATCAATCCTTTGAAGTGAAATATAAACTTACTTATACATCCACCCAACATCATCATTACCCAAGATAATTGTATCTCCACTCTTTCTGTGACCTCTGAGTTATCTAAAATAGAAAACTTGACCGAGGCATTGACCGAGAATCCGTTTAAAAACCATTTAGTTCTTAGAAGCCTTTAAAATTCAGAATTCAGAAAAAAAACCTTCATTCCACAAGCTTAGGTGAGTAGCCCTTCAGGAGATAGGCTTAACATTTATAGAAACAATAATTCGTATTACGTTTGTGAATATACAAATATTAACCCAAGTAAACTTGACAGTCAACATTTTTTTGAAATAGATGACAATGTTGTAACAACTAGATGTAAAATTATCGGAATTTTTCTGTCTCTCTTACTATATGGAATATTCTTTTTATTCCTTTATGTTCCCATTGTGAAACATAGGTCACCTTCAAGCTAGAGGCTTGGAGTTTCTGTAGCAGTGATGATTATTTTTACAGGTTGGGGTCACTAGCCTCATGCCCAACCCAACCTCCCCTCTTTACTAATCTTATTACTGACTTAGTGAGGTAAAGGAGTGCGTCTGTGGCCGGGGATCGAACCCCGAACCACCTGTAGCGTGGTCAGTGAGCACTCTACCGCTGTGCCACCGAAGCACAGCCGTGGAATTTTACTCAATAATGACAACTAATGGTTAAAACGATATACTTAAATGTTGTAATTTCAATATCTCTTAATCGTATTCAAAGAGGGATAGAAAACTTATCGAATGAAAATTTTTACTGTCTAGCTGAAGTAATAAAGTAACCCCGAAAAACAAATTTGGTTCGTTATGGAATGTACATTAAAATTAAACCAAATAACACCAATACTCATCTAAATGTCAGTCTCCAGTTCATAGATATCCTGAATTTTCAATAGGGAGACGTGGCAAGTAGGGTTCACCTTACTAAGGTGGATTGGATGCTCATCGATAGCAGTGTTTGTACGTTGAATCTAGACCACGAATTTATAGGAGTTAGAATTCACAGGTGGTGCGTGGGTGGTACAGAGGTAGAATTGTCACCAACCACGCCACAGGTGGTTCGGGATTCGATCCCTGGCCATAGATGCACTCCTTTACCTCACTAAGTCGGTAATCAGATCGGTAAAGAGTGAAGGTTGGGCTGGACATGAGGCTAACAACCCCATCCCATAAAAATAAATACCACTGCTAATTAAACGTCAAAGCTGCAGCTTGAAGCCCTATGTCCCACAATGGGAACATTGGGAAATAAAAAACAGAGTTCACAAATAACTGCAAAGCTGACCGAGTGATTGGAGGTCCTGAGTTTGGCTGCTGGGTGCATACTGCTCTGGAGTCCTAAACTTTGAGGAAAGAGTACTCCTTGATATTTAATGGTTCTCTAACTTATGTGACTCCCTGACATAATTTACATCCGAATTGATCCAAATCCCCGCGGAATTTATAACCGAAATTTGAGTCAACCATTGAGTTACATTTTAAGTTTTAAAGAAATTAAACTACTCGTAAAACAAAACTCGTAAAAACAAAAACTAGTCCTTAAGTATCGACCATCAAAATAATCTGATGCTCGCTAGTGACTTCCTACAGGATAGAGTTTCCTGGAGTTCTAGTGAGAAGTCGTGACCACTGAGGTCCATCCAGTCACGTGTGAGGGGATGGATGTCCCACCGACGACATTGGTTGGGGTCGCACTAAATCACGAGTTGGTAGAAGTTAGAATTCATGGACTGACCAGTGAGTTGGGTCCCAGTGGCTGAATGGTATACGAGCCAGCTTGCCTTGTAACCGAACGGTCCTGGATTCGAACCCCAGTGGTGGGTGCGTACTGCCGATGATTCCCAAACTAGGATGAAACAGCTGTCTGGCAGTACTCCCTCCTGGTTTTCAATGGTTCTCTAACTGATATCAGTCCGTGATCAACTCGTAAAAAACAAATGTAATCATAACAAACCAACTATAGAAAGTACTAACCACAGTACAAGAAAGGTGCAAAAATAATAAAGTAGTGAATACATGGGAAAGAAAATACGCGTTACTTATGTACTGCTGAAACTCAAAACTTACATTCGAAAAGATTTTTCTATTACACTGTGAATTACCTAGTCATTTAATTATTATAAACACGTTTCTGTTGTCTTAAGCAAAATAACTAGGCCCATATCATTTATATATACAAAGATTTTATCTGATTCTTCATTATCTGTAGTCACAGAATACTTTTTTTACACAGATAACCAGGGATTTAACGCATTGAAACATGTGCACTCTTCAACTTAAAATTTACCGTACTAATACATAAATCCAGTGTTACAAAGGGTCAGATCTTCTTCATATCCCTTAGTAGACTGGTCAATTTAAACTTTACACATCTAATTTTCTAGTGGTTGTTTGTAGGAGATTAAACTGATTTCAAGGCGCATTTAGTCACGATTCTATAGCGGTTAGGGAACAATTAAAAACCAAGGAAAATGGGATGACCATTTCGTCCAATTTAAGGACTCTTCAGTCTTAAGCATACATAGTGCCATCTTAGTTCGAACGTGTGAATTTCAAGTTAATAGACGAGCGCGTTATCTTTAAACTACTTGATTTCTACCCCATACCCCATGAATTCTAATTTTTGTCAGTTGTTGACATCACAACACCTCCAGACAGTATCATCTGCAATTATTTGTCATCCCATCTAGCTTGGTAAACTTGGTGAAATTCCAGCTGTTTAGATAATGTATGCATTCCTAAATCTTCAGTTTTGTTCGTTTTGTTACAAATTAAGGTCAGGTGATGTTTTGATGTTTTTTTGGTGTCTTGGTTTACAGGTGCTGCATTTGCCCAAAGTATTTCTGGTGGCCTCAGTACAAGTGTTGCAGTCTTTTGTCATGAATTACCGCATGAATTAGGTAGGTGAATTTCAACTAATGCTTTTTTGCTAATGTATTCTGTGCTTAAATCTGAACATTAAGTAATTGTAATAATAATAATAATCCACTCCATCTACTGTCCCCTGATACCAAGTTAGGGTCAACTGACTTTGGCAACTTAGGTATTGACATTTTACAAGGAGAGAATCTTGTGTACAGATGATATTTTTCTCCTGGGTGAAGATGCTGACAAAATGCAAAGTCTTCTGAATACCTTAGGCATAAATCTCCGAATGTTTCGACTGCTGTTCGCATCTGTCACCAGATGTAAGATGATGCTGCAGGATTGATCTGAACCGACTTCAGGTTAAAAGGTGGGAAACCCTAATGAAATGATTACTGACGAAATCTCAGCATGAATTGAAAAAGGCTCGTGTAACATTTGCCAACTTACTTTCTCTCTGGAGTAGACGTGATATCTAACTACTGATGAAAGGACGTGTAGACTGAGCAGCGACTCGCTGTCCTACTTTATGGCTGGGAGATAGGGCCACTGAACTTGAATGATATCAAGAGCTTAACTGTTTTTGACCAGAGATGTTTGCATTCCATCTCCCGTATTAAGTGATATTATACGGCGAGGAGTGTTTAGGTTAGGCGAAGAGTGTTAGGTAGGAAAGGAGAGTTAATCGATAAGGTTGTGAAGCTACATCGATTACCATGGCAAAGATACGTATTACTGGCTATGTGGGGTCCTGAAGATACAAAGAACCAATGACTTGAGGCCGTTCTCAGTGGTGCAGATATATCCGCTGTTTGTTGTCTTCCAGGCCCATAAAATGACCAGATTTCTGCTCATTATCGTTTTTCCAAATTTTTCTTCTCTTTTCTCTGCCTTTGTGGGTTACATGGAGTGTGGCAATTTGAAGTACTGGACTAGTGTGCAAAGTTCTATGTTAAAACTTAATCAGTCAGTCAAACTTCGTTGGCGGAATTCTCATTTTACTTCGATTAACATCATATCACAACTAAAACTAAATTAAGTAAAGTGATACACATGTTTGGCTACAGGATTTCACCATGAGCTGACAACATCATTTGGAGAACCATTGGAAAACCTACAGGGAGTACCACCAGACAGCTATTTCCTCCGTCCTAGTTTCTGACTCTTCCTCAGTACGCACCCACCACAGAAGGTTTGAACCCGGGACCTTCTGGTTACAAGGTCAGCGAGCTAGCTCGTAAGCCATTAAGCCACTGAGACCTGATCATCCGATGGCCAGCCCATGAATTCTAAATTCTGCCAATTCACAATATAGCGCAACCGCTAGCCAGAAGGTCTTGGGTTCGAACCCCGGTGGGTGCGTACTGATGAAGAGTCCCAAACTAGGATGAAACAGCTGTCCAATACTCCCTGCAGGTTTTCCAATGTTTCTCTAACGAATGTCAGCTCATGATGAAGTCCTGTAACCAACCAACGAAATCCCTACAAACCAATACTTGATGCACATGTAACAGAACCATTAATATTCCTGATTATGGTGGATCTAGCAGCAGACCATGTGGAGTGAGAAGACATGAATATGTTGGGCTCATAAGAAGACTCTAGAAGACCTAGACTCAGAGAACGATTTATGTCTGATGTCAAACAAATTCGAAAGTTTACAGATGAAAATCAAAAATTTGGCTGAATAGGCAGTGAAGACAGAATTTCATGTGTACACAGAAAAGACAGAGGTGATGAAGATATCTGACCGACGATAACAGGCACCAACCAGTATCAACGGTAGAATTTTGAAAAAGGGCACTTCTTTCACTTATCCAAGAGGCAGTTTCAACTGCAGAGGGCACAAATCAGGATATCACAGTTCAACAGAATCGGGAAAAGCAAGACAGAACTTCGTTCCTCTGAAATCAGTGTGGAAATGTTCTGTGCTCAGCAGAAGGAACAAAATTTCGATTTTCAACACCAATGTCAAGTCACCGTTTCTATATGGTTCAGAAACTTATCTGATGTGTCAAGATGAGCATTTCCAACAAGCCGTCGCAGACTTTTATTAACAACTGCCTTCACTCTGTTCCCAAAGATCAGACAACTGAGAAGAAAGGATAAGCAACAAGTTACCCTGTCAACTAACCAACCAATCAAAAACCTATCACTCAACAAATATGCATAGGAAAATATAGAGGGACTGGACACACATGGAAAAGACCGTCGAGCAGCAGCACCTGTCAGGCAGTTGTTGTTCTATTAGTATCTGTATTGAAAACAACAAGTTAAAGGTGCGTTCAAAGGTGACATAGGAGGAGATGAAAGCTTACAGAAAAGTGTACTACATAGAACACAGCAAGACAAATAAAGATGTGACGATGAATCCCTAGGTTCAACTCAGAACCCTAGGGAATAATCGTTATAATAAAAGGGCAATTGTATAGATCAGTGGTTGCATGATAAACGAACCGTTTAAAGCTCTCGCTTCATGGGAAATACTCACCAAGACATTTGTGAGAAAAAAAGAAATTCAGCGGAGATATCTTTTCAGCGATTATATTCTCTGTAGCTGTACAAACACAGTTTATACAGAATTGACTGTTACCTTATAATGTTTAGAATGTTCAATGCATGTTCTGAATGATTTTCAGTTTAGAGTGTCATAGTTTTCAATGTCTTTCGAATATTCTATATGGTAAAGATTTAGAGCTGTTTCGAGTGAATATTATTCGTATATCAGTTCACTTCAAATCTTGATATTACTGTTTATTATTATCATTATTCCTTTGGTTTCCGAGTGGAACATAAGGTTTCAAAAGAATGTTTCCATTTCATTCTATTCTTTGAAGTCTTTCTAAGCTGTCTCCAAGGCTGCCCAAAAGCCTTCATCTCTTCCTCACACAATCTCCTCCAGGTCACCCTCAGAAGACCTACTTGTCGTTTTCTATTCGGGTTCCACTCGTGGTGCAGGCGCTTGATGTCATTCAGAGGTCTCCACAGAGTGTGTGAAATCCATATCCATTTCCTTCAGGATATTTTTGGTCACTAGGTTCTTGGTTGGTTCGTTGCAGAGTTCCCTGTTGCTACTGCCTTCTGGCCATAAGATCCACAGTACAGGTCACCGGCCTGCCTGTTGAAAATGTCTTCAGTGATATCATCATCCGTGAGAAACAATACTGCCAAGAGATGTGACTTTCATCAAATTTTCCCCGTCGATGGTGATTGGTTCTTGTTGCTGCTGTTAAGTAGCTTCATCGCCACTAGCTTCTCTATGTTTATTTGAAGTCCTGTCTTTACTACGTCTTCTGCCAACTTGTTGGCTTTTACCCGTAAGTCTTCGAGCTTGTGTGACGTTAGGCATATATCATCTGAGAATTCTAGATCTTCTAGGGTCTTCCAGTTGTGTGTCTGTCTTCTCGATCTCCATAGTCTTCAGTATGGTCCAGTCCACCAGTTAGCTGGTGGCCTTATCTTACCCTTGTCTACACTTCAAAGGCTTGGCTAAGTTTTCCACTATGAATCACTTCTGTATATTAAAAAATGTATAATTAATGCCACAATGTGGACCATTGTTTATGTCACACACATCACTTCTGAAAAATTTTAGATTCATTCCTCAAGAACACCGGATTCCATAAATAGATGTCAGTAAGAGTATCTGAGTTAGCCTTCCATTAGCTGTTATTAGTACAATGGTTTATGATTGAAACTGAAATGAAAATCTAACATGCAGGGTAGAATTCAAACTACAGATCTCCAAATTATCAGCCCAGTACTGAGCTACTAAATTGAATCAGATTGCTATCTTTGTGGAAATTTGTTAATCGCTAATATTCCTCCCCAGTATCTTTCAAAGTTATTTGTTGGTCCTCTTCTAGCCTGTTCAACAGACGCGTCCATATGTCAACAACCTTTGGGGACTGTAATCCACAGATGAAGTTTATTACTTTAAATTGGTCTTCTGCTAGAATCAATCACAGGTACTGTTAACTACATCCTAGCTGTGCGTGAATATCTCCCTACCATGTATAAAGGATATCTCAGAAATCAAGTAGCACACAAATCAACAAAATCACTTCACTCAGTTGGCTCTATGTCAACCAAAAGACTCAACAACGAAAGAAGATAAAACCAACATCATCTACAAAATAAATTGTAACAACTGCGAAAAACGCTATATTGGCCAGAGTGGACGTCCTCTTCATCTTCGTATCCACGAACATAAGCTAACCGTCAAAAGAAATGATATCCACTCTCTCGCTCATATCGCTGCATACAGACAGCTATGGACATCCATTCGACTGGGACAACCAACTTTCAAATATTAGACATAGGGAACACCAAGAATACTAGAGAATTTTTAGAAGGCTGCCTGGTATTCCAGTGAATCGTCAATCAACAGACACATCGACATAGGCAAAATTTACCAGTCAATAAGATGGAAACCTGACACACACAAAGGGTCAAAGTTCAAGTCAAGGAAACAATCAATTGTAATACAAGTAGCCTAGAGGATGTGAAAACACACAAAAACAACTAATCACGTTCAAGATCACCAGAAGAGATGACTAATAAACTCGTGGAGAAATCTAAAAGCTCACTACAATAAATTGAAGTATGCGCTGAAGATGTTGCCTAGTAAGGGGCAATGAAAGCTTCCCAAATTAACTATTCAGCTCAGAGAACACAACTACATCAAAAATATCGTCATTTTTGTTCAGCATCAGTCTCACACAATGATAACATATATTGAACAGCGACCAATGGTCACTGAATTGATGACGAATTATGTGCATGGTTTCATCAAACGTCACATTACTGGGTTTCTGTGGCAGGATTAGATTACAAATTTTATCTACTACATCTGCTCCTAGCTTCCAAAGTAATCGTCTCTGTTCGCGAAACTTTCACTGAACAGATGTTCATATTCACGAAACCATGTGTTGAACATTAAGTTGGCGTCTGGGTTGTAAAGAAATTCTGATATAGGGCTACCGACGTTGTTGTCGTTGTCTGGAGATGAATCACTTGGGGATAATATGTGCAAACCAACCAGCAACTCCATCATGTTAAGCTGTAGCTCCAATAATTTCTTCAACCATGTTGAGTCGATTCGCATCATCATTCACTGGTTGACAACTTTAAATTTTGCAGAAGTTCAGCTGAATAGGAAAGCCAGGCTAGTGACAGACGTGGCTATCACGAATGTCGCTTGTCTATACCAGCAATGTATACAACTGCTATCTGATTTCCAAATCTGCTACTTCATCGAGAACATGCAAAGATTTGGGACGGAAAAGTAAAATTTTGGAATTGAAATAAAGAAAACAAAGAATGTATACATACATGAGCCAGTGACGCAGGTACGAGAATAGGCGATCCATTACTTATGTGTCTACCTATCTATGAGACAACTGATTGGTTTATTTTCAGACTGGAAATCCGTCACTATATCATATTAGTTGCCCATCTAAGTCCTCTGATGACAGTTCTTATCACAATGAATTAGGAGAGGTGCAATTTGTTCTTTGATGATGAGATTGATTACCTGAGGAAGAAAGCCTCATGTTCATAGACTTTTACTGATATGATGCGTAATGATCGAAGTTGAAATGAAACCCTAGATCGCATTATGAAATTGATATCCACAAATGTAGATGCCTTAACCTCATCCTTTTGGAATTGAGGAATCCTTTGGTTGTTTCAGATATAAGTCCTCCAAATGACATTTATAAAACACTAAATTTTCATTTTTATTCTCATATGTTTTTTCTACTGTATAATACCTTAAATAAATCATTATTATTCAGGTGATTTCGCCGTTCTCTTGAAAACTGGTATGCGAATCAAAGAGGCAATGTTTTTCAATATTGTCTCATCAATACTTTGTTTATTTGGTATGTTAGTTGGTATTGCAGTTGGTAATATTGAATCAGCAAGTTATTGGATATTTGCTATTACTGCTGGAACATTTATATACATTGCACTTGTTGATATGGTGAGTTATAGAAATGATTATATTATTTTTGTTAATATTGTTTCCTTTAATTCCTAGAGGAGCATAGGGCTTCAGCTGCACGTCTCCATTGCGTTCGGTTCTCCACCAACGTTTTCACCAGACTCCATGTCTGCTCACATGCATTCATCTCCTCTTCACATGACCTCCTTCTCCGTGTCACCCTCACATTGACGACCGACTTGCCGCTTCCCGTTCGAGCTCCAATTGAGTGATGGCTTGGAGTGGGATGTCACTTGATGGTTTTGTCAGAGTATGGCCGATCCACCTGCATTTCTTCCTGCATATTTGTTGCATAATCGGTTCCTGGTTGGTTCGCTCACTGCCAGAGATCTCTCCCTGTTGCTGATCTTTCCTGGCCAGCAATCTGATCTTGATTGAGTATTGAGCGAAGACAGCTATTGATGAAGGTCTCTTCTTTGTTCGAAGTGCCCTTCGTGACAGGCAGTGCAAGTCTCTGATCCGTATAGAGTAGCACTGACTTCACATTGGAGTTGAAAATCCTCATCTTATTTTTCATACTGAGTGCTGTTGATCTCCACACAGACTTGAGAGAAATGAACGCTTGCCTTGCTTTCCCGATCCTCTCTTTGATATCCTCATCAGTTCCGTCCGCCTGTAGTTTAAATGATGCTTCCCAGGTAGGCGTAGGTGAAGGAGGTTGCTTCTTTTAGATTTCTCTCATTTACGCTGAATGTTGTCTGTTGTTGTTGTTGCTGTTGCTGCTGACCAGGAGTCTTCATCATCACCTCTGTCTTCTCGATGTTCACCTGAAGTCCTATCTTCTGTGGATGCTTCTTCTGCCAACTTGTTGCTTTTCACTTGCATATCTTCCAGTTTGCGGGAAAACAGACATACACCATAGGTGAATTGAAGGGCTAGGCAATAGATCGTTTACTGAGAAAATCAAGAGATATTTATATATTTTCATGTACATTATTATTCGTTATTATTAGCAGGGAAACAGCGTCTTCTGATTGGTTGTTTTCTCACTTGAAGTTATTCTATCATCTCTTCGTGGCCGTTTCTTTGAAGGTCAGACCATATATCTACTAATCGTATCCGCCCACGCAATGCCTGTTGCGATTGGTTGTTGAGTTCCTTAAGGTTAAGCTTTGTTTTTGTTTTTTCTGATGACCTTGATTCGGGACGTAAACATTGACGTAGATTACTGTCTACCGATTTCGTCTTGCAGACAGCTCTCGCCATAATACTTTGATGGTTTTTCACCTTCAATATGAAAAGCAGTCAAGCTAAACTACCAACGAAATCAAGTTGAACAGGCAATCAGATAGTTATTCTTCCAAAGTGGAGGAGGCTTTTAGAGGGAATTCCAAACAGAAGTGTTCATATTTTAGCACAAGTAATACGGCAACTGGTTGCATCAGTGACAGTTATATCAACGAGTTATCGTCATGAAGATATATTCACTACAGAGTGAACCATTTCCTTGGAGTTTATCGATCTAATAACTAGGACTCATACAGATTCAGTAGAATAGTTTCGGGGACATTTGTGAAAATTGATAAGATTTATAAAAAGAACCCAAAAAGATATCAGATTTAGTTATTTTTAAACAGATTTAAGTATAGAAAATGACTTTCAGGTATCATTAATCATCGCTATAAGAAACTGGTAGAGAGAGAGAGACTATTATCCACTTTTAAACGTTTTTATTATATCTATTTACCGTAAACTTACTTTTCAAAATAATAAATGGTTGTTTTCCATGAGACGATTTTGATTGGTCGTCCAAGGTCACTGTATTGATCGCCGAGATAGGTTGCTATTCACTATAGTCGCCTTATCTACTATCCCTTATGATATTCTTCATCAGGGTGCTCTGGATCACCTAGCAGAATATAGAGAGTGAGATGGCAGGAATATATAGGTCCAGTGGACAGACTGAAGAAGATTTAGATTTCGTGGAAGATTTATGCCTTATGTCACACAAATTCGAAAATATACAGACGAAAATCAGCAACTTCAGATAAGAAGACAGAGGTATCACTATCACTATAATCGGGAGAAATTCGAAGGAGGTCATCACTTTCACTTATTTTGGCAACATCGTTTCAACTACAGGTGACAGCATGGATAGGGATGGCAAAACCAGACTCGGAAAGATAAGACACACCTTCAATAATTTGGAAATGTGCTGCACTCAGCATGAGTGCAACACGAATGTCAATTTTATTCTCTTATATAGTTCAGAAAATTGGAGTAAGCATTACTGAAATCGTTTCCAACAGACTATTTCAGAGTTCCATAAACATCTGCCTTCTCTCTATACTGAAGATCAAATGCCCAGAAGGGATTAGCAACTATGGGTTCTGGAAACGAATCAGCCAAGACGTCATAGCCTACCAAATATGCCGAAAGAAATGGAGATACATCGGGCACACGGTGAAAAGACCATTCAGGGATACAACGCACCAGGCAAGTCCTCGAGTAGAACTGAAATGTGAAATGAGCGGTTAGTTTGAATGGTATCCAATTACTCATTAGCAGTCAATCAATCAATCAATTGATAGTATTAAGCGACTTGTAATCATAATTTTCTTTTTCTTTTTGTCTTTTTTTATTTTTAATAAACTCAACAACTTTAGCTACCGGAACTCAATACAGTGGAACTGAGACCAGGTCAAACACGTATTGGACAACTAGCTATACAAGTGGCTGGATTGACAACTGGAGTTGGTATTATGCTGGTCATAGCGTTATTTGAAGATTCTATACGTGTATTTGTTGACTAGATAAAAACAAGTAAACAAACAAACAAAGAAAACACAATATTGACGATAGCATTTATAGTGAAAGCCTTCTTTACCCTCTGTGTGTGTGTTAACGATCGATAACAGATTGGAAGCTACTACACTCAAACATTGGACTGACTGGTCTAGTTAGCTCATATTTTCATCTCTTTTTTCAATTTCCCACACTTCATCTGGTGATTGTTATTATCTGCATCCATGTTCTTCTTAACATATCGAAATTAAGAAGACCATTAACTTTATCTACTCTGACAAGTACAGTCGTCAATATGTTAACAATAGCTAAAATGACATAGCTGAAATAATTTATATATGTATACTCTACATTTTCTCACTCTTTCTGCATCCTTCTGTTCTTTGTGTGCTTTGAATTTACTTATAACACTTTTATAAGCTGTATTTTCTACATTCTCAAGTATATATATACATATATATGTGTGTTCGAATGAAGTTCAGGTTTTTTCTACATTCCTGTGTGTTTTGAGGGAAACATAGGGCTTCAGGGATCAGCTGTGAAGTTTCTGTAGCTGTGGTGTTGTTTCTCCGAGGGGTGGGCTTGCTAGCCTCACGCTCCAAACCTTCTGTGTTTACCAGATTTACCATTGGCTAGAGGAGGCTTGTAGGTGCGTCGATGACTGGGAATCCAACATGAACCACCTAGGTGTGGTAGACGACTGAACTACTGATGTGAAAATTCAAATTAAAAATTCCCATTGAGTAAAATAAAAGAAAAGACGTTCAGTGAAGAGTTACTCTTTTCGCCAATATCATTCTCAAGCTGTACAGTCGCACATATATATATATACGGTTAATTTTCTTAACAACAAAATGAATATTTTGAAGATTTGTCATTAGAATTATAAATTTTGGTTAATAAATGATGTAATATAGAAAGCGTTAATCCGATAAAAAATAAAATAAATTTAATTCGATTTTAGATTTTCCCGTCAACTGATTATTGAACCGAAGTGCTCGGTCTCAGGTTGACATGTTTTTCGGCTTCTTGTGCACACGCTCCGAAGATGCCTGGACATGTAATTAGAAGTTAATTGGTGGATGGTAACTAGCAGTGGAATCCAGGACGTGCATTCCCTCCTATTTGGGACTAGTCAGCTGGCGTTTGAAATTGATCACTGGGTCAAGTCTCGGTGAGAACATCATCACTCACTGGGGAATGCAGGTGCATCCAGCCGACGAGTTCGAAAATGAACGAAATGCACAGCCTGGATTCCACTGCTAGTCACCACCCACCAATTAACTTCGAAAATAAAATGATTAAAAGTGTAAGTTTTAGATAGCAAATTTCGTCAACCAGTTAGAAACTACAGTAAGATTAAATAAGCAAGTTGAGCGACGTAATCTAATTCACGACGGAGTTGAGTAGAGCTCAGCTATAAAATTAAAATTGAACAAAAGTCAAGTTAACAACACTGGTGATAAGGCGTAGAGATTTAATAAGGGTTGAGGGAAGAAAATATTATACAATTAAGAAACAATCAAGCAAGAAAAAGACGAGACAGAATATACGTATTTGGTGTTAAGATAGGTCAGGTCTATTATAGATTCAATGATTGAACAAACTTCTTTTGTATGCAGAGTTTAGGTTTTAATATGTGAATTGCTATTGCTTTTGTTCAATTTCAATTTTAGCTGAGCTCTACTCAACTCCGTCGTGAATTAGATTATGTCAACCGACTTGCTTATTTAATCTTACTGCAGTTTCTAACCCATTAACGAAATTTATTATCTAAAATTTACAATTCCAATGACAAAACTTTGGAAATCTTCATTTTAAAGTATTAGTTTTGATTAGTTGGAGGATTTCATAATGAGCTGACATCAGTTAGAGAACCATTGCGACTCTTCATCAGTACGCACCCACCACAGGAGGTTCAAACCCAGTTCATGACATAACGCGACCACTTCGCAATGTCTTCCTCAACGAGTTACTGCCTCACATCCAACCTGCTGCACCCTACTGGTCACGCCTTCCCACTAGAACCCTAGGCAACTGCCTGAATAGGGCCAGTCACTAGTGGACATCAAATCGATTTTCAAGTATCGGTTTTTGTAGGGATTTTGTTTCCTTGTTTGGAGATGGGTGTGTACTTCTGAAGAGCCTCGAACTATGACGAAACAGCTGTCCAGTACTCCCAGGTTTTTCAATGGTTCTCCAAATGATGTTGTCAGCTCATGATGAAACCCTCCAACCAACTATTCAGAATGATATTGCCGAAAAGAAAACTCTTCACAGAACGCCTTTTCTTTTATAAGTTCAGATTTAATAGTTTGAAAACATTTCAGCATATGGGTATGCATGATATTCATTATCAACGGCCTCCTCAGTGGCGTATGCCAGATCCATCTCCATTTTCTCTTAAATATTTCTTGAGCAATCAGTTGGCTCTCGCCTGTTGGTTTATTCCCAGACAGAGTTTCTTGTTGCTAATTGTTTCTCACTGGCTGGCGCGCCATTTCATCTTCGATATGGAGCCAGCGTAGGAGGCAGCTGTTGATAAAAGTCTGCAACCTTTTGGAAATCCTATTCTTGACACGCTGACCAAGTTTCTGAACCATATAGAAGGACTGGATGACTCAACATCTGTGTCGAAAACCCCAATCTTATATTTTACGCTGAGGTGGATCGCAGAAGATTTCCAAAGTGGTTTCAGGTTGGGGCATCAAATATATTCTTAAAGGCTTCTAAATACCAAATACTTCAAACAGCAGAAGTCATTGTAGCTCTCCTAAAACAACATGAGATGTGTGTGCTGAAGAAGTAGTTCCAGCCAACACTGCTACTCTGGCCTACTATGGAATCTATAAATTCATAAAAACCGTTTGTTTCTCTTAATTTATTTGAAATTCAGTATAGGTTTATAGTGAGACGTATTATCACTCACTGATTCTTTTCAGGCATAACCTGTTGATTTCATTCACAATAATAGTTTTTTTAATTATTCTGTATATGAAACTGTAGAACTTTTCGAAGAAGAAATTATCGAAAACAATATTCTTTTATTCACTAATTGGTTTTATCAAAACTCAGAGAATAAGAAAATGTAAACAGAACACTACTTAAATCTTTATCAATAGTCTGGAGTTGAATTACTAAAATAAGTCTAATGAACAAGCACTTACGGACTATAAGAAAAAATATTTTGCTGGTCACAGAGGACCCGAATTCAATATTGTTGCTGATAAAATTCTTTATAGCTTCTGTAAAAGAATACTTTCTTGGGAAATCCCTCTTCAGCGATCGAATCACAATATTTATGCTTATTTGGATGTTTCACCTGTGTAATTTTTATCCATTAATCCCCGACATTGTTTATCATTGTTCTGACTTTTACAAATCACATAGGGACTTAATTCTTAGTTTTAATGCTACTCTTTATCAATATAAGTGTAAAATAAGATGGGAAATCTGGAGAATAATTCAGCTATAGCACTACATGCATTTACAACAAACAACCATACAATACGATGGATGGGATAAGATAACAGATTTAAGATCTAATGTAACAGGTTGGAGGGAGAGATCGATAACTGACTGAAGCTTTATTTATCGAACCATCTACACACATATAAAACAGGAATGATTCAACACCTGTTCACCGAGACATCTGGAGAATTCTACTACCTCTACGACGAAATAAAGACAACTATAAGACGAAAGTTTCGAAGCAATGTAGTTATAGTTGGTATGATTATGAATAGCAATAAATTGTGTTTGAAACATCAATATTCAGTAAATAATACTGTTTCACTGTGTGATATACTTAATTAACAAATCAATAGGGAACTTTTATTTGGCGTTGTGCGATAAATTGGTAATATATTGTTTTACAATGTGATTTTGTTTGAGTGAATCAAGCTCATTCATGTATACAGTTTTCAGTCTGACCTAGTTGGGAGTATTCTACATGATTCCAGGGTACTACTTACACTTGAATTTTGGTTAACCAATTTTGTTCCTTAATACTAGAACATTTTCTGAGCTCTATTCAACTCCGTCGTCAATTAGATTACGTCCATCAACTTGCTTATTTAACCTTATTGCAGTTTCTAACCGGTTGACAAAATTTGCCATCTAAAACTTACAATTCTAATGATTTTACTTTAGAATTTAATTGGTGAGTGGTGACTAGCAGTGGAATCTAGGATGTGCATTTCGTCCTATTTCGGACTCGTCGTACGGATGTACCCACATTCCACAATGAGTGATGATGTCCTCACCGAGACTCAACCTAGTGCCCAGTTTCAAACGCCAGCTGACTGGTCCCAAATAGGACGAAATGCACATCCTGATGGATTCCACTGCTGGTCACCATCCACCAATTAACTCCTCATTACATGTCCAGACATTGTCGAAGCCTGTGCACAAGAAGCCGACAGATATATCAATCTGAGACCAAGCACTTCGGTCGAATCAATTGACAGTAAAATCTAAAATTGAATTAAATTTCATTTTAGTTCCTATCCGATTAATGCTTTCTACATTACGTAACTGGTTAACTGAAATTTTTTAGTTCTAATGACAAATATTTGGAGACAGAAAACTGAGCAATCTGTTTCACAGTTGATTGACTGTTATGGATGGTCATTCAAGCTAAAAACTTTAGTCAAAATTACAAAACAAAAGGTAGTAAAAGTAAGCAACTATAAGCAATCTCAGCTGCATTTTTCTCCTTATTGAAAATGAAACGGCCAACTAGCCAGAAAAGATAAGTAACAAGAAACTTTGATGCCATGGAAAAAGAACGATGTAATATACGCTTTTTAAAACGTTTCCTCTTTATTCATTCTTTTACGGCCTGATTGGAACATAGGACTTCAAGCTTCAAATGTGAAGTTTCAGTAACAATGTGGTATTGATTTAACGGCGTGAGGTTACTAGCCCGAATCGAGCTGGAACTGCATGCATGACTAGAAAACATTCTACAGCTGAACCGATGACTTACGAAGCCTTATTCACCAGATCAATATAGTCACAACAATCCTTAAAGAAGTAATAGATATCAAATCTGAACACAGAAGAAATGCTACCGTGGTGAGAGCTGTATGCAAGACAAAACCGGTAGATACCAATTTACTTCAATGTTTACGTCCCAAATCTTGATCAGGAGAGGAAACAATAAGAAAGCTTAATCTTGAGGAACTCAACAACTAATCACAGCAGACTTAACGTGTGCGAATACGATTAGCAGATATATCAACGGAATATGTAAGAAGGAGCAACAAAGAGATGATACAATAACCTTAAGCAAGAAAACAACCAATCAGAAGACGTTGCTTCTCTGCTAACAATAATGCTGATAATAATGTACATAAAAATCTATAAATATCTCTTGATTTACTCAATAAACGATCTGTTGCCTGACCCTTGTCTTCTGTCGTTACAATACTACCAAGTTGATCAGGCTAAAGCAAGTACAGTGAGATTC